AAAGGAAGCTCCTGGCTTTGGTCTGGTCCAGCCCCGGCCATTGCAGCCATCTGAGGAGTGAACCAGCAGATGGAAGATCTCCCTCTCTCTCTCTCCCTCTCTCTCTCTCTCTCTCTCTTTCTGTCCTTCCTCTCAGTCTGTAACTCTTTCAAATAAATAAATAAATCTTTAAAAAAAAAAGACTGTGGCAGTACTTCAGAGGGTTAGCAAGGATTAGATGACAGGATACAAGGTATCCAGGTAATTCCTGGCACACAAGAAACAGCATTTGAAAATTATCCATAAGAGGGCCGGGGCTGTGGTGTAGTGGGTAAAGCCCCAGCCTGCAGCACGGGCATCCCATATGGGTGCTGGTTCTAGTTCCGGCTGTTCCACTTCCCATCCAGCTCTCTGCTATGGCCTGGGAAAGCAGTAGAAGATGGCCTGGGAAAGCAGTAGAAGATGGCCTGAGTCCTTGGGCCCCTGCACCTGCGTGGGAGACCTGGAAGAAGCTCCTGGCTCCTGGCTTCAGATCCACGCAGCTCCAGCCTTTGAGGCCAACTGGGGAGTGAACCAGCAGATGGAAGACTGACCTCCCTCTCTCTCTCTGTCTCTCTGTGACTCTGCCTTTCAAATAATAAACAAATAAATCTTAAAAAAAATAACAAAAATCATCCGTAAGGAGGGTTCTTGGGGCTAAATAAATTGGGACACACTAGGCAAAAGGACGACAGGTGTCTTTTCCCGCAAGAGTTCTCAGAATGACGGTGTTAACAGTGGGAACAGCACGACCAGCTCCACAGGGGCAGAGTACTCAGTGAGAGCATGTGCTCAGTGGACAGCTGGACAAGTGTCACCTGTGGGCACGGCTGACAAGCATGGGGGACCCGCAGGTCGCGGGGTGGACGGGCAGCCTCTGCTCCTGTGCTGTAAGGGCCTTGCAGAACGAGTGCCCCAGGAAAGTGCACCCCAGAGCAAGTCACCGGAACAGGACGACCCCATGCTTGCCAAACTGAGCTGGGGGACAGCAGCAGGGACAGTGCAGTGGGGAGGGGAGGTGCTGAGACAGACGTAAGGGGACTGCTCTCTCCCCACCACCCCCAGCTTTCACACTGCTTGGGGGGATGTCCCTGCTGTAGGGGCAGGGGTCTGCAACTCCTAAGAGCTGATTCGACTCTCAGTGCTGCCTCTCCCTAGCTGAGGGGCCTTGGCCAGGTCGCCTGGCGCCTCTGAATCCAGTACCTCTTCCTTGGTGGCGATGGGTTTTGGGCTATAAACTCGAGTTTCTAAGGTTCCTTCTGGTTCCAGGATTCCATGCCAATGGGTGTTTCTGCCAAGCTAGAGGAGGGTAAAGGAAGAGGAATAACATGTGGGTCCCAGTGTCTCTGAACCGGGATCTGATTCCAGAACTACCTGGGGGCAGTTTCCAGAGGGGTCTACACCTGCTCACCTACTCAGCCGACACATTCCTTAATGCTGAGAAAAACGGTGATGTACCAAGGCAGACTCACAGCATGAGGGAGTGGGCGAGAGAGAGAGAGAGAGAGAGAGAGAGAGAGGCAGTCACCTTAACCCCTCGTGTATCTGGAGAGACCATTAAACCTGCAGTGCCAATGGACAAATCATTATTTTCCAAACTACACATCAGTTTCCCACGGTGTCAGGAAAGATTTTCCATTCTAGCAGGTGCAAGACGCAGTCTTGGGATTAGAATGCCGAAGCTGACATTTCAATTTCAGTAAAGTGCAGATGACGGGGGTGGGGTAAAGGACAGCACAGCTGACAACAGGAGTGTCTCCAAAGCCCAGTAACACGGTCGCCATGCGAGTCCCTCCCTTCCCTCCACAGCCAGGGTGCTGCCCCACCCAGGGAATTGGGGAGCCTCATCCTGGCAGCCCCAGAGAGACAGCCAGGCTGGGTGAGAGGGCTGGTGTCCAATGTAACCTGGCCCAGCGCTCCAGCCGGATTTCGCTCTAGGCCTAATTGCAATACTTCCCCTGAACCGACTCGCAGAGTAACAATTACCCTCCATTTAACACATTAGGCACTAGAAGCCGGAATGACCTACATGGGACCTCAATGTCTTCACTGCGCAGCGTCTCTCCTGGTCAGAGGCTGAGCACTGGCCTTGGGCCTTTTGTCCTGCCCCTGTCCTTAATTTCCTGCTGCCTACCGTCCCTCTGACAAGTGCTGCAAGGGGGGAAGGCGCTACTTCACTGCTCTAAACCTACCAAACAAGCCAGTGGGGAGGTATCTCTCCCCAGCCCCTCCGTTTTTCTGGCTCAAGGTTGTGTTACTTGGTTACTGACGGAGCTGCAGAGGAGAGAGGCAGCGGCTCCCTGTGGACAGCAGTGCAGGCTTCGTTCAGCAGGTGCAGGAGGAGGGCCAACAGGGTGTAGGAGCTCGGGGTCGGCTGCTGACTACAGGTGGCAGCCAAGCCGAGCAGATCCTGTGAGGCACTCAAAGGCGGGGAGGGGAGGACAAGCCCCCAAGGGGTGGACAAAATCAACGACTGTTCTAGACGACACGTTTCCTGCTGCCGTGGCCAGTGTTGCTTGGATCCCCTTATGCCAGCCACAGCAGAGATAGGTGTTCCCGAGGCGGATGGGGCACGTCCGCGTGGCGCCTCCCCAGACTGACTGAGGGAGAGGGCAGGGGCCGAGGCTTGACAGAGAAATGCAACAAAGGGGCTTCCACTGTACTTGGTCGACCGTGTCGGAGAGGCAACCTGACGTGCCATCTCAGGCCGCCTTGGAAGGAGATGGCCGGGCAGCTGGTCCTCCAGGAATAGCCTGTGCTGTGCTAGTGCTTCCAAAACTGAACAGAAACCAAAAACCGGGTCGGTGCTGTAGTGTAGGAGGTAAAGCCTCCACCTGCAGTGCCGGCATCCCATATGCACGCCAGTTCCGAATCCTGGCTGCTCCACTTGCAATTCAGCTCTCTGCTATGGCCTGGGAAAGCAGTAGAAGATGGCCCAAGTCCTTGGGACCTAGCACCCACGTGGGAGACCTGGATGAACCTCCTGGCTCCTGGCTTCAGCATGGCAAAGCTCTGGTCATTACAGCCATTTAGGGAGTGAACCAGCAGATGGAAGATCTCTCTCTCTCTCTATCTCTCTCTCTCTGCCTCTCTGTAACTCTGCCTTTCAAATAAACAAATAAATAGAAGAAGAGGAAGAAGAAACCAAAAACCACACGTGCCCCATCCAGGTCTCCTGGGAAAGGTGGGGAGGAGGTGTTGGGAGCCAGGGCTTCATTCATCATGGGCTAGAAAACAGTGGTTAGTTTTCTAAATGATACATGAATTGGACCTTAACAGTTTGAATACCTTTACAAGATGATATGGGACCAGGGAAAGGAATCTGAGGGCACAGTGGGCACTCTGGCTCCTCCTTCTCCCTCTTTTTCTACAAACCACTGGGGATACTGATGTTGGTTGTTGTTGTTAAGACTGATTGATTTAAAGGCAGAATGACAGAGGCAGGGAAAGAGAGAGAGGGGGAATTGGTCCACTCCCCAAACGTTCACAATGGACAGGCCTGGGTCAGACTGCAGCCAGGAGCCAGGAGCTCCATCTGGGTCTCCCACATGGGTGGCAGGGGCCCAAGTGCTTAGACCATCACCCACTGCCTTCCCAGGCGCTTCAACAGGAAGCCAGGAATCGAATGCACTGCATCCAACACAGGATGTGTGCATCCCCTGCAGGAACGACCCCCTGCACAATGCCCACCTGAGGGGTCACTGGCTTTTAAGCTAGAGGGGGCAACAGGCAGTGTGGCAACAGCGTCACCAGAAGACTCGGAGTTCCCCTGAGCTCAGTTCCACCTTGCCTCCCTGGCCCCACAACCACCTCTCCTGTGTCAGCTAATGGAGGGAGCAGAGACCCACCCTTCTCCTGATGAGCTGCACAGAGAAGCCTAAAGAGCCGCTGACTCCCAGACTGGCTGGGACGCCACTGGCTCAGTTCCATGCAGGCCCTGGATACAGAGGTGCAGGACACAGAATCCAGGCCCCTTCATGACCAACATCTCAAAAGGAGACGAATTCAGTGGGAGCCCCCGGCTTCCACCCTTCCAAGCAGCTGTCTGCTACCTGGCTTAGTGGCTTAGGTCATCACCCATCTCCAGGGCTCACCCCACCTTCGAAACAGATTCTGGACTTTGGCTTTGCACTGGCAGATTGGATATCGGCTAACAGGATGGACAGACCGGGCCAGTCCAGCCCACAGAGAAAGCTACTCAGGAATTTGCTTTCCTTTTTCCCATTGTCTGAAACCGTGGGAGGGAGGGGTGTGTGTGTGTGTGTGTGTGTGTGTGGCGTGCGCGCCCCTACTTGGGAAAGGGTGCGGGAAGGGAGGCTGAAGGATTGATTATGACTTATTAAACCACTGGGACAGAGGCTGAATCATCACGGTCAAAAAAATAAGTCGCTGCTGCTGGATGCGACGCAACTCCTACTTCTTGCCCGTTTGTTCTCCTGCTCCCCGCACGGCGTGGAGGAGGAGGGGCTGCTGCGCTGGGTCAGCCCAGCAGGTGCGACTGCCCAGGCAGGGGACTGGCTGCCCGGCCCAGGGCGCGCCTCCCTCCCTCGGAGCTGGGAAACCCTGGGGGAGTCGGGGGGGGGGGGGGGGTCGGAGGCAGCGGCTCCTCGAACCGCATCGTGGGACCCAGGTGCTGGCTCAGACAGGCGCCCGCACACAGAAGCGCCGCGCCGCTCCCCCACCCCTTTCCCCCGTAGCGTTGCCCTGCACCCTGGCCCACGGTAAACGCCAGCTTTGTAAACTCAAGGCTGAGAAAACCATGAAGGTCCTGGAGCGGCTCGGGCTCTCCCCCGCCGCCACGCCAGCTGCCTGGAATGGGCTGGTGAGCGGCCGTGATTCTCCGAGACCGGGCGGAAGCGGCGCGTGTCTTGGCCAGGAGACCCCCAGGCACTGAAGTCGCTTCACCCCCTCTCGCCCCCCGCACGGGGTCCCCTCTCTCCGCCGCGGCTGCCCGCAGCCACCCGCCAGATTCTCCACCTGTCTCACCCGGGTCCTCCTACAGGACCCGGCGGGCGGAGCGAAGCTGCGGTGACGTAACGCGAGGGGGGCGTGGGGAACTGTGGCGAGGGGCCCCGGCCGGCTGGGCCAGTCCAAGCCGCGCAGCCAAGGGCGCGCGCGCGCTCGCTCCTAAGGCCACCAGCGCCCCGAGCGCCTGCCCACCGCTGGGTGCCAGAGGTTTGCGGGTCGAGAGGTTTGCTCTGGAACGCACGAGGGGCGAGCAGAAGCCGGCGCGAGGGAGCTGTGGGGCCGGGAACCCCGGACACCTAGCACCAGGTACTGGCCAAGCTGCTTCGCGCCCGGGCGCCGGCTGGGTCGGCGGAGACAGCCAACCGCAGGGTGCCAGTGAGCCGAGCCAGCGGATTGCAGCGGAAAGGCAAAGGTGAGGTGTGCGAGTGTGCCCGTGGATGAGAGGGAGGGAGAGAGAGAGAGAGAAGAGAGATTTGGAGAGAGCGAGAATCATACTTGGGCACCTGTGTGCATCTTCGCTGGTGGCGGGCGATGCGCCCATAGCTGCGCCTTAGCGTGGGTCCCGGTGCCCTTTGGGGGTGATTTGTGGAAATGAACCACAGCGGGTCTCCCGACCTGAGTAGGGACTGTGGGCTGTGTTTGCTGGAATGGACTTATCCGCATAGCCTCGTGCCCTCGTTCGCAGCGTGTGCCCCTCGGCTCGGGTGTCCATCCAGGTGGTGGCTGCCACGGGGACAACTTCCCTCCCGGTCCGAGGCAAGCGAGGCCGGCGGGGAGACATGGCAGGTGGCGGCCAGTGGCTCTTGCGGGGCGCGCACCCAGAGATCCCACGCAAGTGCCACCCCGGGGCAGGCGGCGGAAGCGGAGAGAAGCAAAGAGGGGCTGCTCTGTTCTTCCCCGTCCGTCCTGCTGGGCCTCGAACGATCTGGGTCTGCACCAACCCCCACCGCCGCCGCCGCCGCCGCCCCCAGCCCGCCCAGCAGCCAGGACAGTTTGCCTGGGTTTGGAGAGAACCCAGCAGACTGCATGGCCCGCGCCGGGGAGCCGCCCGCCAAGCCCCCAGGCGACCGTCGTCCGCCCCCAGCTGTCTGTCCCCGGCAGCTCAGCCCCGTTGGCGTTCAGGGTGCTGCACCACAACCTCCTCTCCCACCCCTCGGGGGTGCTCCCTTGGCTAGGGAGGCGGAGGTATCCGTGCCCGCGGAGCTGCGGCTGGGCCGTCCTGCCGCTCGGCTCCCCGCTGCCCGCGCCCATCCCCTGCAGCCCGCGCCGCCCCCGGCTTCTCCCAGGCGCTCCAACCCCCGCAGCGGCTTCGCAGGTGGCCCGCATGCTCCCTGCCCGGGGAGTCACGCTCCAGCCGGGTTCAGCAGACCGGAGGGACACGGGGGTGGGGACAGAATGTGGGAAAGACGCTGGGCAGACAGGAGGAACGGACGCTGCGTAGGACTTGGAACCACGCTGATGCTGGGTCCCTCTCCCAACACAGCTTTCTTGGGCAGCCGAGCATGGCCCCTCTGGGAGGCGGAGGCTGTGAGTGGCGAAGCTGCCCTCGCCCTCCTCCCCAGCAGAGCCGGGACCCAGTCTCAGAGGAAACTGAACCAGGGAGCGCTTCAGTAGCCAGCAATCCCGGGCTGCGAAATAGAGCGAGCTGAAAATCTAACTTCCTCGTACATTTAATTTAACCAGAAATCAGCAAGTCTCGGACCCACTGTCTGTGGAACCCAAAGCAGCAGAAGTCACTTGGGGACCTTAGACGGCTGACTTCGTGGTTAAATAAACCACCATCCACACTAATTTCTTCCTTGGCTCCCCTCCCTGCATCTCTGCCAGCATCTCCAAGGCACGGCCCCTGCTCGTTGCTGCCCCTCTCAAAGTGGGGGGCTTCTCAGCCTTCTCAGGAAAAAGAAAAAAAAAACTGTCATCATGCGCTCGGGTCCACTTTGGCGAGACTCCAGCCAAAAAGGGCAGAGTTAGGGCTGGAGAGCAGCTTCCAAGGCTCCCGCACAGCCCAGCACAACCACCCATCCCTGGCCAGAAGCCCCAGGTAGGGCTTCTGCAGGTCAGGGGTCTCCGTTGCCCCCAGCCCCTGCAGTGCAAGCATTCATGGCACAGAGATGGGACCCCGAGGACGCCCGGGATTCACGTGCACTCTGAGCGCAGGCAGCTTAAGCAGGAGTCGGGGTCTGCAGGATTCAAGTAACTGACAAGATGGTTAGAAATGAGGGTGGACACCACCCAAGTTAATCCAGCAACACTGGAAACAGTTTCTTTACAGCTTTGGGTTTTAAGAGCTGCTGGTTGATGCTTTTCCTGTAACCCAATGCAGACATCCAATCCTGGGTCCCCAAAGATCAGTCAGAAAGCTCAGACCTCACTTCACGGACAGCTGCGTGGTGGGGGAGTGAGCGTAGACAGAAGCTGAGCGCCTGGAAACAGACCCATGGGCTAGGGTCCTCTCGTCCTTGCGGCTGGCTCGGGCTCCTGGAATTCATTTGCAGTCTGTGCGAGCGTTCAGCGCTTCCTCTCTGTCCGCACTCAGGTCCCGGGCCCCAGGAAAAGCACCCTGTGCGGTGGGGAAGGTGGCAGCCGAGGGCATGACTCCCACTGACTGCTGGACATGCCCCCATGTCCGCCTGCCGTCTTCCTCCTCCATCATCTTCACACACACAATGCGCAGCTAGAACATTGCTCTAGGAGCTCCGGGTCGCCCCGGGAAAGGCAGGCATTCTTTGTTCATACCTCTACGCCGTGCACACCCGCTATGAAGTGGCTTCCTAGTCTGTCTCCCCTAATTCGTTACCCCCTAGTGGCCGCCAGCCACATCTGATCCGCTCCTGTATCCCTGCCACCCCCAAAACACAAAGAAGCCCTCCAGTTATTTTTTAAATGACTATAGATAAATCGTTTAGCTGTTTTGTATCTTAAGCCACACTACTATTGGCACAATTATTCTCTGCACATGGAGGTAACACATGGGAGTCAGTCACTTTAAACCAAAGCCAACTGTATTTCAGTCCACAGGGCAGCCAATACAATGTCTCGAAAAGTTTCCCAGACTTAGGGTCAGGTAGCCTGTGTTCAAATCCCAGCTCTGACGATCACGCACAAGAGAACGGGAACAAATTACTCAAACTCTGGAAGCCTCAGTTTCCATGTCTTTAAAATGGGGATAACTGGGGCTGGCGCTGTGGCCTGGTGGTTAACGCCGGCATCCCACATGGGTGCTGGTTCGAATGCAGGCTGTTCCACTTCCCAGAGGCTCCTGGGAAGGCAGCAGAAGATGGGCCAAGTACTTGACCCCCTGCAACCCATGTGGGAGACCCGGATGAAGCTCCTACCTCTGAAGCTGCTGGCTTCTGGCTTCAGCCTAGCCCAGCCCTTTGTTGTGGCCATCTGGGGAGTAACCCAGAGGGCTGAACACCTCTCCCTCTCCCTCCCCCTCTCTCTGTAACTCTGCCATTCAAATAAATAAGTCTTTAAAAATAAATACATAAAGAAAATGGGGAGAATTATCCCCACCTCTTAGGATGACGTGGAATACTGAGAGGGTAGCGGGCATGAATGAATGACACGATTCTAGAAACTTCTGTTCCTGTCGACGGATGAGCCTGCTTCCCTCACCTGGCTCCTGTGTTTGCCGTTAACCAGGGAACTGCAGGCAAATCCTCCAGGTCGTCAGTAGCCTTCTGGGGCAGATCTCAGGGCTCTAGGAACAGCCCTTCCAGGCGTAAGAAAGTCAAAGGAAACTAAAACATACATTTCTAAAATGAAAGCAAGCCAGACTTTTATTTTGATATTGAAGACAGTAAATTGGTTCACTGTGTGGGCAGATTTTAATAAATTAGAGATAATAAGATGTTAGAAAGAAAAAGGGGAGGAAACAATATTTCTGAGGTCCTATTAGCAGCCTACCACAATGCGAGGGGTTTTCACACACCTTACATCGTTCAGCCTTCCTGACACTCCTGCTGCAGCAAATGAGAGACCAGCTATGGGCCGGGCACCAGGTCCCCTGGGCTCAGCGGTGGAACCCAGACTTCTCTCCCTCAAGTCTGGGGCTTGTGCATGAGTGGATGTCAGAGGAGAGAGACTCCAATGTTGTCACCCAACCTGCATAGACTTCCTTGCAGGACACGGCCACGGCGGCCAGCGCCAGGCCCCCTCCGAGGTCAGAGGCAGAACCTCTCTAAGCTCTGTGTCTTCACAGTTTGGACCAGCCACCTCTTGAGGGAGTCCAAGTTATGCGGTTTTGAACCCATAGCCAGATCCACCCACCGTGCGTGCGTCATCAGAGAGGATAGCTTAACCCGAACCCCTCCCCCCCTATTGCAGAAGCAACTCAGAAACTGAGTCTGGGCGCCGAGCAAGGATGGGCTGGTGGCTGCGCTGCTGAGGTGTGACGGTGACATGCTGCAGTGTGACAGCATGCCCGAGAGGTCCACCAGAAATGAGGAAAGTCGCTGGCAGTTTCAATAGCCTGGGACCGCTGAGCCAATCTTCCTGTTTCGTTTTGTTTTGTTTTTCCTTCCAGATGTCACAGTGGATCCTGGGTCTCCAAGGCCCACTAAGGTGAGAGTTAAGATCTTTCCAGCCTAGGACTGAACGGCAGCCATGGACATGGCCTACGAGCTTCCCAACGGCAGCCAAACGTGGCTGTCCTCCCCGTTCGACCCCAACGGCTCGGTGGCGGTGGCCAACAGCTCGAACCAGACAGAGCCCTTCTATGACATGACGAGCAGCGCCGTCCTCACGTTCATCTACTTTGTGGTCTGCATCGTGGGGCTGTGCGGCAACACGCTTGTCATCTACGTCATCCTCCGCTACGCCAAGATGAAGACCATCACCAACATCTACATCCTCAACCTGGCCATCGCAGACGAGCTCTTCATGCTGGGCCTACCCTTCCTGGCCATGCAGGTGGCGCTGGTCCACTGGCCCTTCGGCAAGGCCATCTGCCGTGTGGTCATGACCGTGGACGGCATCAACCAGTTCACCAGCATCTTCTGCCTGACAGTCATGAGCGTCGACCGCTACCTGGCGGTGGTTCACCCCATCAAGTCCGCCAAGTGGAGGAGACCCCGGACAGCCAAGATGATCAACGTGGCCGTGTGGGGCGTCTCTCTGCTGGTCATCTTGCCGATCATGATCTATGCCGGGCTCCGGAGCAACCAGTGGGGCAGAAGCAGCTGCACCATCAACTGGCCGGGGGAATCTGGGGCATGGTACACGGGGTTCATCATCTACGCCTTCATCCTGGGGTTCCTGGTCCCCCTCACCATCATCTGTCTTTGCTACCTGTTCATCATCATCAAAGTGAAGTCCTCTGGAATCCGAGTGGGTTCCTCGAAGAGGAAGAAGTCCGAGAAGAAGGTCACCCGGATGGTCTCCATCGTGGTGGCCGTCTTCATTTTCTGCTGGCTCCCTTTCTACATATTCAACGTGTCTTCCGTCTCTGTGGCCATCAGCCCCACCCCCGCCCTCAAAGGCATGTTTGACTTCGTGGTGGTCCTCACCTATGCTAACAGCTGTGCCAACCCTATCCTGTATGCCTTCTTATCTGACAACTTCAAGAAGAGCTTCCAGAATGTCCTGTGCTTGGTCAAAGTGAGCGGCGCAGACGATGGGGAACGGAGTGACAGCAAGCAGGACAAGGCCCGGCTGAATGAGACCACAGAGACCCAGAGGACTCTGCTCAATGGGGACCTCCAAACCAGCATCTGAGCTGCCTGGGGGAACATAAACACGCAGACGAAACCGGCCAAGCTCTGCTTCCCAGCAGCGGGCTCCCTGGAGACCCCCTTCCTTCCTCCCACCCCTCACGCCTGGCAGAATTCTAGAATGGGAGAGACTGCCCGGCACGAGCCCAGTTCAGAAACCAGCGTTTGAGTGGAAAGGCTGCCCTGGCTGAGCGATGGCGCAGCACGTCGATTACCTCCCCTTCAAGGTGATCGTTTAGATGCAAACTCACAAGTCAAAGTCTGCAGAAGAGGCGCTCACGGCTGGGGTGTGAACCTTAGAAACGCCGAAGCTCAAAAAAATAGAAAAAAAATGTATCTGTGTGTGTGTGTGTGTGTGTTCAAAACCCAACGTGTAATCTTGTGTTCTTATATTTATACTCGTGTATTGCTATATGCTCTCATTGTATACTCCTAGACCCTGTGCTTCCTGTGTTCACGTTACACGAGTTCAATTTCACGTGTGCATAGCATAGGTGGGCATTTGCCACAGTACAGCACCCACAGAAGCGGACTCACCATGGAGCCAATAAAACTTAAGCTTCAGGGATCTCTCTTTGTGAGCCTTCCCAAGGCCCAGGAGGAACCTGAGCTGTGTGTGTGTGTGTGTGTTCGCATGGTCATGTGTTTGTGTACAAAGTTGTGAAAGTAAGAACACTTTGCATTCTTTTCCCCTAGAAGGGTCCTTGCAGGTGCATATCCTCCCAGCCTCACAAAGCCTGCCTGTGCCCTGGGGCCCGGCTCATGCATTTCAGGCAGAGTCAGGTCGGAATCAGAGGGGAAGGAGAGAGGGCGGGAGTTCGCCTGTGCCTACTTCTCGGGTGGAGTCACAGGACTGCTGGTTCATCCCAGGAACTCGACACAGCGCGGTCACTGGCGACTCTGTCCATCAAGAGACACCTGCTTTGTGATGAGACTGCGCTTTCTTCCTTCTCACATTGCTTTAGTTTTTCTTAGGGAGCTATGGGGAGGGAGATTGCTAACCTGAACGGCAAAACACAGACTGATTCTTGTGGGGAAATAGCTGTATTCTCCTTGCCGTGAAAATAAACTAATAAGAATGGAGCAAAACTGTACCTTCAAGAGAACCATGAAATTGTGGTTTTTTTTTTCTTTTTTTCATGCCAGACATAGCTTCCTAATGAAAGAAAATGGAAATGTGATTCCACAGCTCCTCCAAGGGGTTCTCGAAGGACCTTAAACAAAGCTGGGCATTAACAAAGTCACATGGCACAGGAAAGAGCACATGGAACACGGGCATGCATGCGCACCTCACAGGTGTTGTGCCAGGCTGCCTGCAGCACCAACTGTATACACACTGAGGGCACGCTGACTCTCAGAGGACTCTTCGAGGTCTGTCACACACGGGCACATCATGCCATCACTGGCTTTGTCCCCAAAATCATAGATGGGCTCAGGGACAGGTGGTGAGAAAAGAAATAAAGCCCATGTCACTCAATGGCCAGTTTGCAGGGGTTGGAGAAATATAAGCCTGGGTGTTGATCACTCTCAGAGGCTCACATGTAGATTTTGCCTTATTTAAAACGAGCTTTCCTCCTATGGCTCCCCAAGCCAGGGCCACCAGGCGGCCAGAACGAATGAGTGCTGCCCCCTGCCTACTGCTGGCCTCTGCCTTCTCCTGTCTGTACCACTCACACCACCTCACTCCCGAAAGGACTCGCTGTGACTCAGAAAAAAACACGTTCATATATAAATAAATACAAAATAAATATTAAAAATATGTTCAATATCTAAATAAATCCATGTGAAAAGAAACAGTGCAGTTATAAAACAAGACTACGGGGAATACTGCTGCAAAACAGTATATACAGTGAAACCCCACGTTAGCACTAACGGCAGGTAGTTATGTCGGTTCAGGACTTCCTGGAAGCCACGTCTAATTAAGAACGGCTTTTTTTTTTTTTTTTAATAAAAACCAGGATTTGGGAGGAAATGTGTTTAACCAAGATTTATTGTTACTTGGAGAACTGATTCCAAGGAAGACATGTTTGCAGGGCACATGAGACTAATTCTACAGCACCCGTGCTCACTGACCACAGAAACCGCTCCCACGGAGGCCAGGTTCCAAGCGGCCATCCGCAACCCCGAGATGAAATGGCAGGGTGACGATTCCCGGGCCGAAGGACCGGGCCTTTCGGAGCCACGCTGTCACGCCATCCGTCAGGCAGTCACGTGCCTGCCACGTGGGGAGGGGTCCTCCACGTCTGGAAAGATCTGCTTCAAGGATGACTCGCTGTCTGATTTCTTATATCCAAAAGAGGCAGTGAATATTTTCACGTAAACGTTAACACGATTTTAACTCAAAAATTGAATCTCGGCCTCAATTCAACATTTAATTATGAAGACGAATCTGCCGGATAATGGGAGGGAATAAAAGGTAAGGCAGGGCCCTGCCTTCGGGGAATCGTCTGGGCCCTGCAAGCTTCCGTCTGCAGGGGCAGAAGGCGCTGATGAAACCTGAGCGCTCGTGGGAAAGGTGTCTGGGAAAGGTGTTATGGCATTGTCGCCCATGGTGAGTGATGTTAGCTGTGTTTCAGCGACACAGACAGCGGAATAACAGAGGATGGGGGGGCGGGTACTGTGGCACAGTGGATTAAGTCACCACCTATAACGCTGGCATCCCATACGGGCTCCGGTTCAAGTCCCTGCTGATCCGCTTCCGATCCAGCTCCCTGCTAATGCACCTGGGGAAGCAGCAGAAGGTGGCCCAGGCCCCTGGGCCCCTCCCTCCCTCCAGCCACGTGGGAGACCCAGATGGAGTTCCAGGCTCCTGGCTTCAACCTAGCCCAGCTGTGGCCATTTGGGGAATGAAAGAGCTTACCAGACGGGAGATTCTCTCTCCCTCTCCCTCTCCCTCCCTCTCTCTCTCCTCCTCCCTCCCTCCCTCACCCCTTTAAAAAAAATAAAAAGGAACATAGAGGACATGGAGGTGAACCTTCATGGAGGCTCAGGCCATGTCCTGGAAGAAGCTAAGAAAACATAAAGAGAATGATGGCGGACGGTGAAATGGCCGCAGAGGCGAGAATGTGGGCTGCTGGGCGGCCGTCCAGGGCTGGCAGTGAGCTGGAGTCTGTTTGCTTACACCAACGTAACCGCCTCTCATGATGGAACACAGCCCCTCGGCCCAGCCGTGCTCCCTGGGGGAGCCGTGCTGGAGTGTGTGCGGTCTGATCGCTGAGACAGGTGGGAAGCAAAGGGCCCGGGGCGTGGGCCGTCCCTCGGCACCTGCCGGTGGGAGTCTTCCAGTTACAGCGGAAGGTGGGCGTGAACCGGGGCGGCAGGAGGGTCATCAGAAGCCGCCGGGCAGGGCTGGGGAGGTCTGAGCAGAGCTGTGTCCTCCTAGGGATCTGAGCAGCAGAGCTCCTGGGTGACCACGTAGACTGGATCACTGTGTCGGATCCCAAAGCACCGAGTTTCCCACCAAACGTTCCGAAACAGCAGACCCTTCCTAAAGTGCTTGTTTTGCTCCTAATATGTGGAATGCTGGGAACGGTCTCCCGGGCAGAGTCTCTGTTTTTTTCTAGCAGTTCATCTAGCCAGGAGGCACCAGGGACACTGTCCCACTGATGGCTGAACAGCTTCTGTAGCTGCTGCTACCCGGTTCTCCAGACCATTAGGGCTGAGAATAACGCCCCGAGGACAGCTTTCACGGGCCGCCCCCACCGTCAAGGGCTGCCCACCCCTTCCTTAACTCTGCAGTGCCGAACACTGCCAGTCTAGATTTTTCCTCCATCAGATGTCCCGGGCGCTGTCTGTATCTGGACTCTGCTTACGAACAGAGCTAAACATTAACCAAGCCTGACCCAACCTGACTATATAGCGCTGTTGACTCTCCGAGGACTGCAGGTGAGCCCGACACCGTGAAAGGCTGGGGCTGCTCCCCCAGCTTCTGCCTCCTGCTGGACAAAGGTTCTGAGTGCGAGGCAGCCCACAACCCAGAGACGGGACGCCAGGTGGGTGCACGGCTGGGGTTTCATGGAAACGGAGAGGCTTCGTTCTCCAGCTCTCTCTTGGCATTATGGAAAGGACGGGCAGGGGGAAGAAAAGTGCCCAGCACTGTGGCAGAGAAGGTTAAGCCTCCACCTGCAGTGCCGGCATCCCATATGGGCGTCAGTTCGAATCCCAGCTGCTCCACATCTGATCCAGGTCCCCACTAATGCACCTGAGACAGCAGTGGAAGAGTCCTTGGGCCCCTGCACCCACGTGGCAGACCTGGAAGAAGCTCCTGGTTCCTGTCTTTGGCCTGGTCCAGCCTCGGCCATTGTGGTCATTCAGGGAATGAACTAACAGATGGAAGATTAATACCTCTCTCTCTCTCTCTCTCTCTCTCTCTCTCTGCCTTTCAAATAAATTAATCTTTTTTTGGAGGGTGAACCAACGGCAAAAGGAAGACCTTTTTCTCTGTCTCTCTCTCTCACTGTCCACTCTGCCTGTCAAAAAAAAAAAAAAGGCAAGAAAGAATAAAAAGATCCCTATACCGGTGGGTTCACTGCTGGGACTGGAAGCAGACAAGGAATGCGCCGGTTGGAGAGAGAGCTGCTAGGTGCCTCTCAAAAGGCTTGCTAAGGGAGCGACACGTGGCTCGCTGACCAAGAAATCAGAGCCTCGTATGCCCCAATTATTCAACGAGGGGGGATCTCCAATGGCTGAGAAGACCCCTGTGCAGCCCAAGGAGCTGGCGAGAAGAGAGGAGGCCCAGGGTGAATCCACACCTGGGGCAGCAGAGAAAACACGCCGGCTGCAGCCCTGGACACGAGGCAGGTGCAGCTGCCACAGGCCTCAGGGAGGGCAGGTGCAGGGCAGCCAGTCCGGGTGCCTGGTGGGGGCGGGCACTGCGGCACTGCTGGTCTCCAGACAGGAAGCCCACAGCAGCTCTCTGAGCTACCTGTCAACTCACGAGGGACAGCAACGGAGCCAGAACACCACTCCCAGACAGCGCTTCCTCTGCCTCAGGGGGCTGGGCCACCCCTCCCCAGAGGGCTGCTGTCCCCGGGTAGGGGGGCATGTTCCTTGCCAAGACAGCTGATATCTTTTGCAAGAGCATGATTTTCTTTTTCTTTAGCAAGAAACTCAAATGGTCCTCGGTCCACATAACCCAGTCTCGCTTGTCTTCAAGTTAACCAGCAGGGGCGATGGAGAAGCTTTCTTCTTCAACCTGTACTTTCACGGCAGTCTGCGCTCCCAAGGACACATGCGTGCACACGCACTGCTTGCATGTGCGATCAATACACACACAGGCACTGCCCTGGAGCACACGGGTGACACACACATGCACATTGCACGTGGAGGACACACCCAGTGTGTGTGTGCATGTGCACCCCTGGGGGGCACTGTGTGGCACACACATGTACACTCAGTACACACATCACACAGGACACACCCAGTGTGTGTGTGCATGGGCACCCCTGGGAAGCACTACGCGGTACACACACGTATACTCAGTACACTCTACACCATGCAGGACACACTCACCCAGCGTGTGTGTGCATGGGCACCCCTGGGGGGCACTGTGTGGCACACACACGTATACTCAGTACACTCTACACCACACAGGACACGCTCACCCAGTGTATGTGCGCATGTGCGCCCCCGGGGGACACTGTGTGGCACACACATGTACACTCAGTACACACATCACACAGGACACACCCAGTGTGTGTGGTGCATGTGCGCCCCTGGGAAGCACTATGCGGTACACACACGTATACTCAGTACACTCCACACCATGCAGGACACACTCACCCAGTGTGTGTGTGCATGTGCACCCCGGGGGGCACTGTGTGGTGCACACACGTACACTCAGGACACACATTACGCAGGACACACTCATCCAGTGTGTGTGTGCATGTGCGCCCCGGGGGGCACTGTGTGGTGCACACACGTACACGCAGGACACACATACACTCGGGACACACGTACACTCAGGACTCTACATCACACAGGTGAGCCTTCCAAAGCAGAGTCTACAGTGGCCCCCCCGACAAGGACGCTGTCCTCTAACTCACCGGCAGTCTGGGCACATTCAGTCTTTGTTTTCTAGACGGATGCCTCCACGGCGGGGGGGACGCTGTGCAGAGCTAATGTTTTACCCAGAGGATTCCCAGCTGGGTCACAGACTGCACGCCTCACCCCAGCCAGCTGTCCCTGCTATTACCAGGTCTCCTCGATTGAAAAAAAATAAAATAAAATAAAATTGGCAAAAGGGAGTGACTGGTTTACTACAACTCATCCCCGGTCGTCACCCAACACGTACTGCTAACAGCGATGTTTCCGTATACGATAAACAACAGCAAAATTACCAAAAATAACTGTCCAGCCGCTTCTCAGCAAGGGCAGCGTCTGAACAGACGTCTCTCCCTCCCACCCCTGCTTCTGGCTGCACAGCGGAGCCTGAGTGCTTGGGAAAATCACCCAGAAGTGACCAGCAGCGCTCCTCCTCCCCCGTGAGGACACTCCGGAGAAAGACCTCCCAAACGTGAGAATGTCCTCCCTCGCCCACGGTCTGGCTCCAGTCTGCTTCCACGGCGCAGGGCAGCTGCCCGCGGCGCATCTCGCTTGCTCTCCCAGTGCCCGGCAGTCTGCGTGTGGGGCGGCAGCACTGTGGTCCCTCGCCCTGATGAACAGACGTCTGATCCCCCGGGTTCGTTCTCAGGATGAACTGACGTTAGTGGAGTTGCAGCTGCACTGCCAGCCTGGACTGCTAGGCACCAGTGGAGCAGAGGCTTGGCCTCAACGAAGGCTCCTGCTTGGCGTCAGCGTAAC